CAAGAAAAGAACTATATTTTTCGCATGCAGATTTTTTGAGCGAGAGAGAAAAGAAGGGGACGCTGGGCCTGGCGTGCGATTTCATCGGGAGAGCGGCGGTTAAGTCAGGAAAGTGCAACGCAAAATCATCGCAAGATCGCCAGCCCTGTCCGATCGAGAAATGGACGAGATCCACATCATTCGGATCTGTTGCGAGTTTTTAATAGGTCAAATTTTAGCTTTGTCGTATCAAAATACGAGCGATGTGGTCTAGAAAGATAACAACAACGAAAAAAATGTGATACAGAAAAATGAATAAAATTCCGAAGAGAATGAATTGGGCAACGCTGATGAGAAAAACACTAAGAGGCAATCCTAGTAAAAAATATTTTTACACTAATACAAATGGTTTGAATGGTAAAAAAGTCAAATAGCTTACTAGTCTTCATTTTGTTTACAGTAACTACAGTTTGAATCTCGATATGGGAATAAAATATTTTTCTCCCTCCCGCAAGTACTTGAATTCGAGTGTTACAGTTTATTTTTTCAGAAAAAAAACTCGAGTTTTACCAATTTTTTCTTGAGAAAAATTGCGAGTGATATCTGCACCAGAGTAATGGACTACTTGAATGAATACAGAACACCTAGCGTAGTTAAAACACAAAGGGCAGTGCAGTTGGTCAGTGGGGATGGCACATTCGTCAATGTAGACGTTCAGGTTTTGATTTCGAGCGCTTTTGTTGCCTTTTTTTTTATAAACAGAAACTAAAGTATGGAGATAGACATCGTACGTGCCTATTGCTAATGTCCAGTCGGCAGGGACTTAACTTTCCCGTTATCTAAAAAGAAATATAAAGTGCAACTTGATAGATCCAATCTATTCTTGGAATAGACAACTGACACACACTCCCTTAAGAAACAAAAATCGAGACACCAACCACCACAGTTAGTTTTTTTTTAAGATTTGTAAACCGATTTATTGGATTTGTTGGTAAAAATATTGGTATTAAACCCGAAACTGTCAGCGGATGGCCAGTGAGCTAAAACATGAAAATGGACTGTTTTTTTTCTTCTCTGTTGCACATGTTAGTTGTTAGGTTTCTACTTATTACTAAACAGTATAACTCAACCACCTATGAGCCACCACAGCGTTTTGGCGTCGTCAGCCGTCAGATCAACCTACAGTAACGAATCAGATCGAGTCGTCGTCCCACCCAGCGCAACAGGTCATTTTCACCATGTCGCAATCCATTCAGCACACATGTAGTCGGGCTGCTGCTCCACAGGCCGAGGTAGGGATCACCTCGTTTGATGGGCCGATCAGCGGCCAAAAGCCCATGTAGCCAGTTACGGGATTCTTCCATGTGTTTGGTGCGTACTCCACCATCGAAAGAAAACCCTCAAAAGAAAAAAGATGGCACAATTCAGCTCAGCACCGGCGGCGGATGCTATCTCCGCTCCTCCCGGCCGCATCGTTGGTCCATCATCCACCGGTAGATCTCTTATGCCCTACAAGTTGATCCCTTCTTTCCCTCAAAAAAAAAAAACAAGTTGATCCCTTCATCTTGCCGAAAAAAGATTGATCACTTCCTCCACCGGTTGTTGTGTCTCTTAGACGACATTATGATCCTGAGACAAGTTTTTGTAAACCTGCGTTTTGATTGCCCCTTTTACTACTTCCAGTTCGTGTGTACAAATATCTTCTATTGATATTCCTTCCGCTTATGTCAGCCGGGCTAATATGGGATTCTCGGCACAGCTGGCAGTCCGTTCTTGAGCCTCTCGCTTCCAGATTTTCCCATTGCTCTTGTTAGATAGGGTTTGGATAAATCCCAGTTTCAGAATGTCTATACTTGTGGTTCAAATTATGTTAGCAAAGCCGTGTGATATTGGCGTAGAATGTGCCGATAAATACTTCACTGAACCATTCCACATGAAGTACAAACAATGGCTCATTGACAAGTATTTCTAATTTGTTAGGGTCTAAGCCCTCTCGTTGCACTGTTCATGCTGCCAAACATTCAAACCTACCATAGGTTTCTCTTTTTTGATAAACGTACCATCGGCCCCTACAACGACGTGTTCTATTAGGAAATGAGATAAAAAAGGTTGGTTACATCACTACTTGTGTCATATGAAATCTTCATTTACCTCTCTAAGACTGAATCTATTGCCAAGAAATTGTTCAAACAAGTTCTGTTGTGCTTCTTCTACCTATAGTAGCGTACATCAATCCATAAACTTAAACACATCTGCTAATGGCTCTTGATTTTTGTATTCCCAGGTACATCAACCGTTTCTCCATGTTTCTAGCATATCTTTGCTTCAATAATAGAGAAGTGCATTTGCTTCTTATCATGAATAATAGTGCAGAAAACAAACATAACCATGCATATATTGTTTTGTTCACACCACCTCAAGTTATTAGTTCAACTTAATCAGTTTAATTCCATAAATTGGGTGAGTGTAAGAACTTTTAATTATGTGCATTTTAGGGCCTCAATTATTGACTATGTGTATGCATTCTAAGTGTACTGGTTGCACTATCTTTCAGGCTGCATGCACGGCAATGTGTGTTGTGTTCTATACCCTAAATTCATTCTCTTTCACTACCAATATTTTTCCTCATGACTACAATCTAACCTTCAAGATAGGCGGGCGTGGCAACGCGCGCCTTCATGTTCTAGTTTTTATACTAGTATAAACATGCCCGTGCGTTGCAACGGGAGATAAAAAGACACAAAACGAGATAACAAAAAAACAAAGTCTGTAGCCTTCCTTCCCGACCGCGCCCATGATGGCTGCGGTTGCTGCGGGTCCAGCTGATCACAAAGCATTCTTACATGGACAATCCCAAGACGATGGGCTCTAACACCACACGCCCTGCTAATCCTGCTCCTCTCCTTTATGTTGACGTCTTGAGCCCGGCGCAATCGAGCCGGCTAGATTCCGAAGCATATCAACTCTTGGAGAGACTTAGAGGGATGCACTGTTTATACCATGCGCCAACATAGAGCAGAAACAAACAGGTGCATTCAAACAGTCTCACATACCCAAATTCCTTTCCCTTTCTATAGAAGCTCATTGTGCTCTAATTATACATGAAACCAATGGCAAGCAAATAAAATACTTACATGATTTAGAATTACAGGACAAACTCATCATATATAGAATTAAAGAGGAGGACAAAGGCCTGCTCAATGATATGATGGAAGCAAGAGGAGGACAATGACATGCCTTTTGCACCTGTGAACAAGTTGAAAGCGCTGGTGTTTCGCTTAATGTATAGCTCAATGGTATATGGTTGTTTCACAGTCTCCTGGATGTGCCACTTGTGTATTATTTTAAAAAAAAACTCAACATTTAGAATTTAACTTCCAATAATGTTCACATAATCATTCCATTCTGATAGTTACACCACGAGAAATTCAAGACGAATTATTATTAACAAGTTTGGTACTTCGGTGGAGTCCTACAAAACTGACTTGTCAAATTGACAGAGTACAAGAACAATGAAAACACACAAGATTACAGATAGCTTAACACATCACGCGTTACATGCTTCATCCTCCTGCATCATTATCTCCTCCTCCACTACTCCCCAGCAGCAATTGCCCTGTTTCCCACAACAAGACGAAGGACAGCAACTCTGCGAGCGGTAGGTTATTGTTAGGAATATGATATACTCAACAAAACACAGCAAGATAAGCTGACTACAAACAAATAAAGACAGCGCACAACTTTCATTTCTCAGCCTTCTTTTCTTTTGGGCGTGCCTGTGCTGCTTCCGTCCCAGCACCTTTCGTTGGTTGTTCAGTGATGGTTGCTTTGTAATACAAAGCGGGGGGAAACCCTATTTCCGCAATAATAAACGGGGAAAACTGCTAATAGGCAACTTCTCATTATGCATGTGGAGTTTAATTAGTCTACTATCCATTCCATTCATCTGGATCGTGCTAAATAAAAAACCACTCCATAAGAGTTTGGTGTGGAGAGTGTATATTTTAGGCTGATGTATTTCCAGGAAATCTTTTACATGCCATGTATTTACTCTTATCTCTTCATTTTAGCAATGAAAAAGGAGCATCAATCTGGACATATTTATTATCCAAAAGCAGATGTACAATGGATATATTTATCAAGTTTTGAAGCGATATGACTGCTGCTAAGTATTGCACAAGCCTTGACAGATCCTTGAACTTCATCATTTAGTTAATATCAATAAATTGAAAATTAAGATCAGACCTTGGAGCAAGTGTAGATAACAAGAGTCAGCCAAGTCCAGGCATTAGGTGCACAATTTGAGGAACCATCACCAGCTTGGTCGAGAAAATATGATAATGGGGACATCAGTTGAAGTTCATATTGACGTTGTGAACCACAAAGCTTACATGTGCCAACATCCTGTGAGTTAGTTGTAGGCAACAGTGGACTACCACCACATGAATACCTGCAGGTAATTAGACACCAAAAATCGAATCAGGTTCTGAAACTAAAATAGGTGTATACTTAGAGAAAAGCATGATATAACAAATAATAACAAGGACATGATGAGTTCTACCTAAAGCATTGTTGAGGATATGCATCCAACCGTTTCTTAAATTTTAAGAAAGTTCTGTCGGCCCCAGGAGCACTATCATATTCATACTTTTCTCCTTCCCATTTTTCTTCTTCATCATTACCCATGTCCATTACCTCTTCTGCCAAAAGTTTTTCATAGCTACTAGAACCTACACTGGTTTTCCCCCTCGACTGTTCCTTGTCGTAATAGATATAGAAACAAGGAAGAACTGCAGAAAGAAAATCTCATGAGACAAAAACACTCGGACTTTACACTTATGGTAATGAGTTCTGCAGAGATTTCCCTCACCTGGTATACTCAGGTCATTTACTTTCTCCTTCACTACAGCGCATTTTCTAGGGACATTATTAGCACGCTTTGATTTACTTTTCTTCTTTGTGTTGGATGCCACCGTTGCAGCCTGCTCGAGTGCTGCAGCCAAGGCATCTAAATCAAAATCATCATCATTGGTGTTGGAACTCTTGTTTTCTTCTTCATTATTTTTCCCCACAGAACAGGAAGGAGTTGGCTCATTTGAGCAAACCTTTTCTTTACTTTGGACTGACCCGTCCCCATTATCATTTGATTGCATACCAGTATGGCACTTCTGAACCCTTAGGACCTTCCAACTTTAAGAAGCAAATAAAATTAGAAGTCAGACAAACTAACCTCAAATCAAACTGAAGATCAGAATAACATGTAATTGTACCAAACTACCAATGGTAAGTGACACATGCTTGCCTTTGGGTGTTAGGGCTGCATTTTGGCGCCGGGCAAACGAGCACATACAGTGTCCTCTCTTCAATGTTAAGCTTCGCAAGAGGAGCATAAACCTGAAGTTACTACACACATATAAGAAAAACATGGCAAAACTACTAGTGCTGAGATATAGGTGCTGGCTACCATCATAGAAACAAGCTAGTATGCGACAAGAATTTAGGGTGCTGTTAAGTCTGTAGGTCCAAAGATGATAAATTCACAGTACTCTATTCCCTTATATGGACGTCCATCAGAAGATGCTTCAGCTCTTAACATTCTTAGCTAATTCAGTAAAGTAAAAAACTCGCCTGAGCAACAAGGCAGAGCCTGGTTCCACACAATTTGCATTGGAGTGATTCAGCTTCAGTCCCCACATCCTCGGCTGGCCAATCCTACAGAAAAAGATTCAGAAAATTACTTAAACATGAGCTAGCAATAGCCTCCCCTTGGGAAAATCGTTCCACCTTTGGATAGTAGCAGAAGATAAAATTGGTACTAGAACACATTGGAGCATGTAGCATAACAGGAGGGCTTATTTCCAACTTCCCAAGAGAAGGGGCAGCATAGCTTCATCTCTGGTAACGAAATTGAAGAAGAGATGGAGAAGAAAACAACAAGTTAGCGATGGCATACAGGGACCCCGCCGATCTTGGTGGTGTAGTGGTCGGCCTTCTCCCGGTAGTCCTCCGCCCACGGCCCCGGCAGGCCCAGATGCACCTCCTCCGCCATACCTGCCGCCTATCTACTATCCCTCGAAAGATGCGAGCTTCGCGGAGCTAGCAGACGGCCGCGGGAGGCAAGGACCGCGGACTCGACGGCGGCCGGCGGCGGCTGGAGAGAGGGGTTAAGCGGTTACTCCGTGTGGTCTCTCCCTGGGGGAAAGCTATTCAGGCCTGGTTCTGCGAAAGGGCCTGGACCGCCATGGGCGGGGACGAGGCCCTGCAGTGTAAAGAAGGCCTCATGGCCCACCCTGACGGGCTGAATCAGGTAGTGCAGTGTAAACATTGTTCGCTTTCAAAATCCCGTTCACTGAAATTTTGCCAAATTCATGAATTCATAAAATATAATAATAATTTTCACCGAATTATTTTCGAATATCATTAAATAAATAAATTTTTAATTTACAAAGAATAAATCAAAAATCATTTCACTGAATAATTTTTAAATTCGCGAAGAATTTTCACAGAACAATTTTTGGAACAATTTGAATTTTTTTCAAAAGCGAAAACCGTTTTAAATTTCGGTTTTTAAAATATTTTGACCACTTTTTCAACGTGAACACTTTTGAATTTCTGAAGATTTTTGGAAAACATGAAGAAAAAAGCGTGAAAACATTTTTTGAAATCCCCATTATTATTGTAAATAGCGACATTTTAAAATTTTCTAACTTTTTTTAACATTGAGTGAAATTTATGAATATATAAACGAAATAAAAGAATAAAAAGAGAAACAAAAAAATAAATAAATAAAACAAAGAAAAAATAAAAAGAAGAGAAAATTTCGAAAAGGAAAACTTTGAACCTTCTAGAAGGTTTCCAAAACTGCTATTTCTTGTTCAATCACTTCGCGTGGGAAGGACTCCTAATGGGTCGGCCATGTACTTACGCACGTGAGCAGTCGCAGCACTAACGATTGCAAGACCTCCTCCCAGCGCCTTAAGCGCCAGGAAGGGTAACCAGTGCTCACAAGCCCCCCTCGTGAGCGTTCGATCCGGACCTCCGGTTTTCCCGGTTCTCTGATCGAGGTTGATTGGTCGCTGTTGGATCGGTCCACTGCTGATCGGTTGACCATTGACTTTTAGAAAATATTCACAAAGAACCATGAAAACAAAAAATGAAAAAATGTCATGAATTTGAAAGAAAAAAATCATGACTTCAAAACAATGTTCATGAATTTCAGAAAGTTGTGAAATTTGGGAGATTTGTTTACAAATTTGAGTAAATTCACCTAGGTCGGATAAGAAGTTCATTTTTTTGGAAAAAAGGTTCATGGAATTTGAGAAAAAAAATAAGTTCACAAATTTAAGAAAAATCCTGATTTTGGAAAAAAAATCAAGACTTGTAAAATTCCGCAATTTCAAAGAAATTCGCAAAAATTAAAAAGATGCTGGGGTAACCATACATTGATGGGCTATGCAAGTGGTGCTATACGAGGCCGTGAACAACTCTAAAAGTGGCCTAACGAGGCGTATGTTATTTTCGAACCGGATTTTCCTCCTTTTCCCATTACTTTTGACATAACCCTAAACCCTATGTCCGTGGACCACCAGGGCCGGCCCTGGGTAGGGGCAAGAAGGGCAACGCCCTAGGGCCCAGCCCAATGGGGGGCCCAACCCTGTGCACATATGCTACACAACCGAACAAAATGGGCCTTAAAGCATGTAGCCCAATCAGCTAGGTTACGTTCTGCTAGAAAAAACTAGTAGGTTACGTGAATTCTGAAAGACACCGTCCCAGTTTTGATTCAATCGACCCATCTCGTAACACCAGCCACCGTCGTTTCTTCTTCCTGTCTCCTCGTTCCCCGTTCCGCTCCTACTCCCAAAGCATGCAGTATGCCTAGCAAATTAATGGATACTGCCGCTAAAGTTGATTTCTTTGATACACTTTCAGTTTGTCCATCTCACTCCCCTATGGATTTGCATATAAGTATTCTCATCTAGCGGACGGCCACAGGCAGAGCCCAACACTTCATAAGCTCATTCACTTTGCAAGTTGCAACAGGACAGTTTCTCGGGTCAAAGACCTACAAAGATCTTGTAATTGCATAGTCCTTTTCCGCTTGATCTTTGTACTGTTTTTCTTTGTTTTCTAGCGATTCCCAGACTGATCTTCTATTTATGTACATGTTGCTCATTTGAGGATATGTGGACCCTAGGAAGATCCGATATGCTTGGGATTGGATAGCTGGATTTCTTTTATTTTTTCACCGACAAATTCAGGTATTTCAACTCCTTTCTTATAAAATGTTGGCTAAAAACATGATTTTGAGAAAGAAGAAAGAAAGTGATAGCAGATAAGTTAGATCCGATATATATATATTTTTAGTAATAATAAAAAGGGAGTTCTTTAGGGCATAAAAATGTTATGCTTTGTATCTTCTTTTTTGGCGCCGATTGTGGTTTATATCAATGTAATTTATATTTTTCACTACATTAGACCCACTTTTTAAGTTCGCCCCGGGCCTCCGAAAAGTCAGGACCGGCCCTGTGGACCACTTAGATATGAGTAAAACAGAGACGCGAAAACTTTTTATCTATTCATCAAACACCATGAGAATACAAAGAACACAATAAGCTAAACAAACTACACCCATGTTCATAGACCATATAGCGACGATTACAAGCACTGGAGAGGGGCGCGGACACCTGATAGCGTTAAGAAACCCATATGCTTGTTCGAGTATTTGAAAAGAAAAATGTTGGACGGCCGCGTCCGGCAAACTAACCGAACCCGATGCGTTCATGTTTCGGTTGATTTCTTGCTGAGAGGATACTTGGACTGATTGAGAGAGCATAACTAACGCACCACTCATAGTATATCGTAGTACCTGGCACGCAGATCGCTACAAGAAGTGGAGTTCGGATGCACAAATTTCCTTTAAAAACTGCGGGTGTGGGTGTGCTGTCCATGGCAAAGCTAGGGAACGGACCAACAACCGCCGCCACCACTACACCCTAGTCCCTAGATGACACGAGTGCAGCCACCACTGCGAACACAGAAACCATTAGCCGTTGTTAATCTCTGTCGTCGCCTTCTCCCGGTGGCCGGGAGCTGAAGCCTTCATTGACATGAGCTCCGGTGATGCTGCGTGACTGAATGCAGCCTCGGGGGGCATCTTTCTTTCATAAAATCATGGGCGTGCGGTGCCACCTCATATCTATCACACGACAGATGCAGGGGCGGCGACAAGTGCCTGATCTGTTGGAATGCGTACGTGTGAGTGTGTGACAGTCTGACGGAACATGTATGAATTGCTTCCCGTCCGTGACATTGACATGAGCACGTACATACATAATCCTACGGTCCTACCACTACCTAGGACGCGATGGAGCGAGTCACGGGATCTCGACGAGCAACCGCGCGCGCTCAGTTCCGGCTTGCTTCCAGGACGACGCCGTGGGGCATGTGGGCATGCGCCGGCTTGGCCGCTTGCCGGGCAGCCCTGATCGTGCATGCATGGATGCACAATTGCACATGCACTCCTCTGCTTTTCTGCTGGCAGCGGTGGTGAGTGAATTCCACTTTTTATCCCATATTTATACATTTGTGACACTAATTACCCCTTCGAGTGAAAATTCGTCTAGAATACCCCTTTTAAAATCTTTGGACCCTCGTTTTTTGATGCGTGTCCATCAGGTAAGGTGTGAGGTGACGCCCTGTATCCAAAAACATGTGGACGGCCACAAGAAGTGGAACAGATAGACAAGAAAAGCTTGGACAAGATCGCCAATGATCCCCTCCAATCCTTACAGTTTTTTTTACGAATCAATGACGCAACATGCCGATCCTATCGACCATAAACAAACAAAATGTAAAACTGAGGTAAAACCGTGTTAAAAGTCTCCAAAATCTGACATTTCGATAAAAGTTCCACTAAATAGGGTAATATGTGTCACAAATGTACAACTACAGGGTAAAAAATGGAATTCACTCGCGGTGGTGGTTCCGAGAAATGGCGGTGCCTAGCTAGAACTGGAACCGCGTGTTCTGGGCGTGTCCCTCCCGTCCATCCTGCCGTCCTGGTAGTATCACGTGCGTGCACCCATTGCTGGGCGGGCGCGCGCGCTCTCTTGTCGCGGTGCATCTTTTCTGTATCGGCAGCGTGCCGCCACGATCGGGTCGGGATCCGGATCACCAGATCCAGCGCAATTCAAAACGTTTGTATCGACGCGTCCACACCACTTTTTGCCGTCCAACAAGGTGCCCCGTATGTTCATGGACGCGTTTGTACGATTGAATTCTCACAATTTGGATGCAAAGCTGGAGAAGGTTTGTGGGTGTTCACGGATCTCCGTCACATAGGGCTACGACAACTCCGGCCCATTTTCACCGCCCTCTATCCCGATCTCATCATTTTCACCGCATGGACCCATTTAGACGGTCGTCGTAGCTAGAGGAGGAGGATTCAGAGGTGGTGGCCACTCGTAAGATCAACTCGTCGACCCACAACCGTGCCACCGAGTCCAAATGACCAGGGAGTAAGCAGCTTATCTGGTCGCGGACGTCGGGCGTGGATCACTGCAGCTTATCCGGTCGTGGAAGTCGGGCGTGGATCAACTGGGGTACCCGCTCTCTGTTTACTCATATGTCTCAACAGGGCGCAACGCCGACTGATCACGGGCAGATCGCTAGACATCATCCACGACAGAGGTGGCTTCGAGGACGGATAAGTTGATGACTCCTGGTCAAACTATACGCGGAGCAACCGAGCATGTACACCTAACATCTGGACTCGTCCACATAGCAACCAGACTAGTATATCGAGCATACGGGCCTTGATTCGAACGTTCGGTCGATCGGTCAACCCATGGAATAATGGTAGGGAAGAAAGTTTCAATTTGAGAAAGGACAAATTGTTGTGTGATACTTGGTTCGCCACTGTTGTTGATCCTTTTCAAGGCATGGAGCAAAAGGGCTCAACCTTTTGCCTCAAATGTTCACGCTTGGTTCCATGAGCTCAAGAACTTCGATCCCTACCGAATGAAAGCAATTCAAGATCATACGCCA